CGGTTTATCCTAAATCTTTTCTGATGCTTTAAGTATTTGTGGAAATTTGAAAATAAAATAAAAAATCATAGCAAAAAAAAAAATGTGATTTTTGTGTTTTCCTTTCCTCTCTTCCGTTTTTAAGAATCTACACATGAACAACACGTACACAACAGCTATAAATGTTTATTCTAAACACTTAGAGAATAGTGTCTCAGCATTTAAAGGACTGTACTTGTACAGTATTTCCTGTAGTTTAAAAGAGGTCTCTGCAAGTGCATCATACAGAGATGTGTCCTGAAAATCAACACTAATTGCCCTGTCACTCCTTATAACAGAAATGTTGTTTGGCTGTCACTCATGCACAGTCGTTCTTTTTCAGCTTCTCCACGCACATTTAGCCAAGTTTAGACGGCAGCCTTTCTACTGTAGCCCTACAGTGTAATTAGCTGTCAACGCTCAGTGGATAGGTTTTGTTGTAGGAGGAAAGAGGAAAGTCTGTCTGAGCCACAGTGGTACTGGAGAAGAAAAAGAGAATGACTTCTAACAGTCTGATATTTAGAGATATCACCTCTTTTTCTGTCTACATGTTTTGTGATAGCTCTTTCTGTGAAAAGACACATTTTCTTTGACATGCCCCTGTCATTATGGTGTGTCAAAGGTCTACAATACAAAGGGATTGTATTTATTTAATATTGTGTGTCCATCTTCAGTACATTTTGACTTCTACAGCCTGTGTGTAGCACCCAGCCCCAAGCCCATTTGTTCCTGCTGTGGGTGGGAAATAAATACTTTCATTTTTAAAAAATATTAAAAAAATAATTTCCTTATAATTTCCCAAAAACAGCTTGACACTGCAGTTTTTATCAAATCTTACTTGAACGGGAATAAATCCTGTTTTTGTTTTGTGCTTCATTTGGTGCTCTAGTGAGTATTAATAGCAGCAGGGTGTATCTGGGATTGACTCAAAATAAACCCATGTACCCATGTTCATTGTAATGAAGCAACATGACACCCGTGTATGACAGTGTGACTCACTGATGTGTTTTTCACAATAGAGGTCAATGACACAGAGGAATGACCTTTATCAGGATTTGGCTACACAAGTAGAACTTAGTAATAGAATCACTTCATTGCCGGTTTTGACCTTTTCATAAGACTTGTTGAGCAGAAGAGATTTCTGCACATAATGTATGCAACAATCTAACTATGTTTCCTTCTCATTAGGTCAGGATGATGCCACATCATGTGTAGATGGGCTGCTAGTCCAACATAATTCTGCCCTCAGGGATTTTGGCCTGGCACTGTCCTGACTCTGAACTGGCACAGGTCTCTGAGTGCAGGATTAGTCAGACACACTGATCCAAATGGTGCACCTCTGGAGAGAGTTTGTGGACATTAACGTGGATCAATCTAGCAAACCAGTGAAAGACTTCACCAGATGATATTTGTGTGTTAAGTTAGACCTTCTTTCAAAACCGATGTGGAGTTATAATGACATCATTATAATTATTATTATTATTATTATGACAGTGTAGCTCTCAGATAAGTTATTCAAATAGTTGCGACTTCAGCTTACTTTGTCAGAACTACATAAAAAGGAAATACCGTCTTAAAATGCAAATATACAGGTAAAACATGCTCTCTGTATGTGCGTTTTTCCACTGAAAAAGAACTATAAAAAAGACTGCCTAGTGTGTTTTGTTTTAACTCAATTAAGTTAAGTTGAATTCAACTCATTAACAAGATGATTGTTGACTCTGAGTGATGCTTGATGTTTTACCTAAAGTTGATCTCATTTAATCTTGACAAATTTGAGGCTAACCAAACCCCAAAAATGTCCCTTCCACTTAGAACGTTTGCCTATCTAATCCTATACCCAATCTTGTTTCTAACTATTTATTGTCTAATCTTAACTCTAAGATGTTTTCTCATCATGAACTTGAAGAACAGTCAACTTAATGTAATTATTATAATCATACTTTCTGCGTGTATTTAGAACAATTAAATTTCTCACACCATTTGCATCTACAACATGTTACTGGTTTGCATTTTGGGTCCATTTCACTACAGTCACCTGTTTCACCCTTGTGTGACTTGAGGGAAAGTGCACTTCCTTTACATAGTGTTCTAAAATAGTGCCTACACAAACAGTGCATATCTTAATTCCCCTAAGCACTGCACAAAAACCAGAAAAACAAACAAACCAACAAATCAACAAACACACACAACCAACTACAGCTCCTAATGAGCAGCCCATCCTGAGGACTCAAAGAGAGCACAAATGTTACTGTGAGATTGACATTACAAATGAAAAAAGAAAAAAGTCTGTTAGTAGCACGATATCCACCCCCTGATATTCATCTAGTGTTGTCTTGCTCACTGGCAGCACAAATGTTAGATAAATTGTGGGGTTTTTTTTGTTTCACTCAACTCTTTTAACTAACTTTAAAAAGCACATTTTTTCTTTTCAGAATGAATATTTTTTCAAGTCAGCTATTCAGCAGCTTGCTCATTTATTCAGAAACCCAAACACATGGTAGAAATCTTGTGTCATAGCTTCACAACAGAGAGTTAGAGAAGAGGCATGATGACAAGAGGAAAAAAATATTAATTGGCCTTGAATCCAAAGCATTACAAGAGCATGGTGAGCCTGCCAAGCCCCCGGTACGCTCCTACTAACTCCTGTTATTTAAGGGGCTTTCTGTGAAGATATGCTGTATAAGTTGCAAAATATGGACTTCTATAGGTTGGCAGTTAGTGTTGCATTGAATTGTTTGTTTAGTAAATGCATTTTTGCATTCTGCCACAGTACCAGAGTACACAAGATGGACTGGGGATTAAATGAGAAATGACAAAGATGCCAGAGTAACAGTGATGTCTGAGAAAACAGAGAGAGGAGGGTGAATAAAACTACAGGTGAGACAGGAGGACATGAGATGGAAAAGACAGCTCAAGGTTATTCAGAACCACAAAGATAATACACACAAAAATACTGACAATGGTCAGTTCCATGTTAGTGCATGTCATGGTGCAGCACTGCCTCCATGGCCTACATTCTGCCAGCTGGCAACACAGAAGTGCATGCATGTGTATGCACCCCCACTCCTACACACAAACACACATGGATCAGATGAGACAGTAATGGGGCAGTACTGCCACTGGGAAAGATGAAAACATTCTACATCCATTAATACAGCTAAACATGCAGCTTTTTCTTTTGTTGCCTTGGCATCCTGTGAAATTAATGAACTTAAATTTTCCTTTATTGCGCTTTCTAAGCAGCTGTGACTATTATTACTAATTTTATATTATAGTTAAACATCTTTAAGCCTATCATCCCACAGCTGAAAGAGCTACTTGCCTCTGTAACCCTTGAGTACAAGTCAGGATCCCCTCATGCAAGGCTTATAATGGTTTCCTGCTGGCTGACTCTTGTCCAATCTGATACCTCTGTCCCAGTTCCATCTACAGAAGCATAGAACTAATTTTAAAGTTGTATGAGGTAGATTAGCCTAGTTCAGCCAAGCAGTGTAAATTGGGATGGGTAAGCTAACGTCTTATGATATCACCATCATTCTCAAAACCTAGAATGAAATGACGGGAATAAGCAAAGGAAAGTCGATGGTGCTGAGAGCTTTGGGGTCGCGGAGAGAGAAAAAAAAGTGTATGTGGAAATATGTGTATGTCAGCGTGTGCTGATGTGAAGTGTTTTTGCATATGTTCATGTGTGTGTACAAAAATGTGGGGTCATACTGTAAGTAATCCTCTGAGTGGGTAAGCTAAGCTTCTTAAAGGGGTCTTCCATGGAAAGAAATTGTGACCAATTTAGCTTCGCAATAGCAAATTAGATGAGAATTGACAGATTAGCAGCGTAACAAAGGGAGTTTTGAAATAATGTCAGCAACAATAAAAGCACAAAGAGGAAAAATATATAGATAGAAGAAGCTAAGGAGGAAGAAACGGGCAACAAGATGAAAAAAAAAAGATAAAACAGTGAAGAAGAAGAAAAAGAAGAAGAAGAAGAAGAGAGAGAAAGAGTGCAACAGACAAAAAGGACTCAGAAGAGATCACATTCCTATAGCATCCTCAAAACACTTCAGTCCACACTGTAAATTTGCTGCTTTGCTGTGCAGTGAGTAGAGTCAAGTATGATAACACAAACATAGTACTCACCTAGTCTAGGCTGCCCTTATGGCTGGCACAGAAGCATAGCATAACTCCAACACACACACACCACCACCACCAACGTGAAACTACAAGTGAGTGCAAACATAAGTAGGAAAAGAAAGAGCACTCCAAGGTGGAGAGAAGAAAAATAGATTTCCAAACAGATGTGTCTATGTGTGTGTGGGGGTGTGTGTGTGTGTGTGTGTGTGAGTTGGGTGGGTGTGTGTCTGTGTGTGAAGGGAGATCCACTCCAACAGCAAATGGTATAGGAGAGCTCCGTCTCTCTCTATCTCTCTCTCTCGCTGTCTCTCTCGCTGTCTCTCTCTCTTTCTCTCTCTCTCTCTCTCTCTCTCTCTCTCTCTGGCAACTGTGACGTGTCAGAGTTTCGACCAGACCCCTCCCTCCCTCCCTACTCTCTCTGTCTTTCCCTCATTCGTTCACCCAATCCCTCTCTCTTTCCCTCTCTTAATCCCTCACTTCCCAGTCGCCCCACCTCCCAGCACAAAGACTGATAAAGATTTAGAGCCGTGAGCCTGCCACACTCCAGGCACACACAAACATTTGAGAAAATGTATATGGCTTTTACTTACTGTACTTAAGTTAAGTTGTATCTTTACAGTTGCCATTTTTATTCAACATTTATTTTACTCTCAAACACTGTCTTTTTATCTTTTTATGCAATTTTGATTTCATCCTTTTATATGCTGTTATACAGTATGACATTTATATAAAGATATATTATCATTATGCACATTTCAGTGAGTTCTCCAAAAGTATCATGGTTTGATGCCCCGTTCTAAACAAAAGAGACCTGATTAATTGATTACCGATTAATGATTAAGTTAACTTACCGGTGGTGTGGTAGTTGTGTTGTGTGGGCACTTTAAGATGCTTCTTTCTCCCCAGCTCTTCCCCAAGAAGGTAGTACCATCCATGAACCTCCTACAGCAGAAACACAAAGACTGACTATATATGTGTGAGTGCGTCTGTGTATGTGTGAGTATGCATGAGTGCTGACTTTAAGCTTGGGGATTCAACCTAATGAGTACTACATTTAAAATGAATCCACTGTGTGCGCTGAACATGTACAGAAACACAAACACACAATAGAAAGGATGCAAACACACACACAGACTCAATTTGCTTGCTCCTGCAGGCCTGCAAACACTGAACACTGAACACACACACACACACACACACACACACACACACACACACACACACACACACACACACCACTCACAATGCTTTAGTTTATTCCAGCAGCTGATGCCCCCACTTCTGCCCTGTGAGCCAGATGGTGTGTATGTGTGTGTGTGTGTGTGTGTGTGTGTGTGTGTGTGTGTGTGTGTGTGTGTGTGTGTGTCTGTACATGTGTGTTGTGTGTTTACCACTACTGTACGTGTGTTACATAAAGCTGTGCAGGCTGTAGCAGAGGGGGTCTGATTTGTAATCCCGATGATGTGGACACAGTGAAAACCCTGTCATAAGCCCCGCCATCATTTTACTCTATCACACATTCATTACAGCACACACACAGACATAAACACACATGTGCGCACACAGACATACATACACACACTAACACACACACACATACTGCCATCCTCCTCTTTTGTACTAAATAATGTGACGCCATGGACAGTGACAATAATCTCCATTTTAAAAGCATCTTATCTGAGTGGACAGATTTCTGCAGGCTGTGGGACAAGGGGGGAGGACGCGCAGGGAACTTGAGAAGGGGGAGGGGAGGGCATATGTCCTGAAAGTCAGTGAGGGATTTACAACATCGTTCAATATTACCATGCACATGTGACAAAGGGGGAAAGAGTGGGGCAAAAAGAGCTGTTAGTCAGGAGGGAGATAGATGAGAGAGATAAAAAGAGAAAGCTGGAGATGAAAAAGAAAACAAAAAGCACAAAGTGACAAAAGGGTGCAAACAAACAACGAGATGTGACAAGCAACCAAACTAGGTAAAAAATAACAGCTAACAGTCATAAGCTCCAAATGCCTCTGAAGTAAAATAAGAACACAGTGGACGGATATTGAAATGGGTTTCTAGTAAGAGATGAATGAAAAATAACAAAAGTAGAGAATAACGGATGTGGTGGAGGGGATGAAAAGACATAACTCCCTGTGACTCAAAGCTAAATGTCCCTCATTAGCATATTAAGCCAATTAAATATTCATTGCGATAAATGTTAGAGGAAGGAAGCCATCAGCCTGACTAAAATATAATTTAGTCCCCTTGTTTGTTTTCTTTCTTGATGTGGATGTTAATTGAAACTACAGAAAAGACTTACTGGAGTGACTTTAAGAGGACAAAAGTGGTTTTGTAAATCTGCAGCTGTGTTCATGTTTGTTTTCCTAATTTTACTTCAAAAAATCAAATTAAGCTTTAATAGTTAGCTACTCAGTACGTCTGAAAAAAAACAATCATAGTTATAATAAAAACACCAACTAACTGAATGCAAATACCATTTTCTGTGTCATTCAATCTGAAAGACTTGGTTCTACTTTAAAGTCTTGGTCAGAGAAATAAAATTAAAAGCAGATACTGATCTTTTTAACAGACTTTTTCAGACTAAAAAAATCTCCTTGGTTTTTCTGTACGTTGTATTATGCAGTTTAAACCGCTACATCACCAGGATACTTCTATTTTCTACTTCACAAAGAGCTCAGATTTTAGGGTTCATTAGGACTCATTGCTCTACTGGTGAAGAGCCGCTAATTGCAACAACTGGTCCGGCAAGCACAGTAACTGATGAAGCCCATATTTTATGGGAAAAAGTTGTTGCTTCTTTTGATGTGGGGTTTTCTCATTAGTGCTGTAACCACAATGATCATACAGGTTCTCTGTTTTCTCTAAGACAGATCGTATATTTACTGTGCTTTCATTATATCCTTTTTGTGTAAAGTAAAAGGTATATATCTACTTTCCTGTCTTTATGTTGTCTTCAAAGAACATACAAATGCAAGCTAAATAATGTAATAACACATGTGCTGAAGCATTACATACCATTTGCAGTGGTTACTGCACTAACCACTAAAATATGTATTTTGTTTTAAATTGGAAAATGTGGTACACTGCAAGAAAAAATGTGCACATCTGCAAAGGCAGAGGAAAGACAGTTGGATATATTAGAGCTGAATAATTAAACAGTGGAGAGAAAGAGCTAAGAAAAGCAGGTATGTGCATATACTGTACAGCTGAGGAGAACCTATTATTTCTAACTCAGCCAAAAAGCAACACTGAACTCTTGGACCTCGCATTTATCTGCTATCACCTGCGACAGTTTGGGAAGAAAGACTGAGGGCTAAGTGTTGTTCTATATTATGATGTGCAAGTGTGAGAAGAAGCGGTGTCAACCTTTCTGTGTCTGTCACTGTGTGTTTGAGAAGTTGTCCTCTCTTGTTGTCATTACATTGCCAGTGATATCAAAGCTGTCCCCAGATAACTGAGAGATATTTTCTGTTGAGGTGCACTGCTTGTTGATATTCTGGCCATGTTGTACACTATCTTTATGAAAAGATTCCTTTTTCTGTTCCAAAAGTCTCAATGTGCGGTAAAACATCATCTGCTCATCATACTGCATTTTATTAACTGTAATTTTTAGTCAAATTTTTATAATATTTTATTAAATGAAAGACATGAGACTCAGTGAGACTTTAATAAAAAAAATAAAAAAAAGGCATGTGTTTGTGTGTGTGACCCATTACATTTCAGTAGAGAGAGTGACTCAAAGTGTGTCTCGCTCCAGTATCTAGCGGCAACACTGCTGTGCTGTAACACTGGTAACCCCAAAGTGTTTCCTCTCGACTATTGAGGTCATTGCAATTCATTCACACTGAACTAAACTCCTAGATTCATGGTCTAATGGATGGACACACACACACACATGCACACACACACACACACAGAATAAGTGAAAGTTGAAAAGGGAACTAAGGACACTGTTACAGAATGTCTTTATACCTGTAATCTCTGTGTTCAAACTCACCTGGTCTGTGTCCATAAGAGAGCAGACACCAAAGCTCATGCAACCCAGCAGTGCACTCATCCTGTTGATACACAGAGAGACAGACAGAGAGAATAAATAAGTGGGATAAAAATCAATGAATGCCCGTAAGCAAAGCCGACGTGTCATCTAACTCAGGTCTGACAGACGAAATGTGTTTTATGACCCAACAGCATTTAATCGAACAGATCTAACACCAAATCCAAGCTATTGGGATATTTTTTTTAAATTTATCAGTGTTTTTCATCTTGATGTCAGATTTTGTCACATATAATCTTGTCCCAAAATACCCTACAAACTCCTTTATAACTGAACAGAAAGGACAACATCGATGCCTCGGGTGAAATCTGTGTTGTTAGAAGCATAATAAACCGTAATGAAGGACAAACAAAACAATAATAAAAAGTTTAAAGTAATAAAAATGTGATACTTGGGAAATATTTTTCATGAATCTGTCAACATAACTGACATTGAACAAATTTATTATCAGAGTTATGGGCGTGTGCATGTGCGTGTGCGTGTGCGTGTGCATGTGTGGTGGTGGTGGCAGCAGCACGGAGTGGGTAGGGGTGTTTAATTATGCATACATGAGAAAAACAGTTCTCGACAACCTCCCAGCTGGAGTGGACTAATGCAGCTGTTGATGCTGTTTTGAGGGCAAATTGGCCGTCAGCACAAATGAGCACCTGTAATGTTTCTTGGCTCCACTCAGTAGAAAGAACTAGTGACCGAAAAAGCTGCGCTGCACTGACAGAATGTTGTGAAGACACAATTGAGTTTACAATATCCTGTTCTACCACAAAATCCAGATTCAGCTCGGTCAAACGTTTTCACCAGAATAATCTGCCAACAGTACAATAGACGCACCATGTAAGGCCGATGTATTTTCAGCCATTGGATTACAGGGGAAGACAATTGCTTCTTTGAAAGGATAAGTGTGGTAATGCTTTTTATTATAAACAATTCCCATAAAAAGACCAAAACTAACAATGATCCTGCTAACAAGTGGTACCTGTTGCCAAATCCCAATTCCCAATGTACTTCCTTTGATGACCAAAAACGTAATCGTACTCTGCAGCGCTGTACACTGCTATGCCTAAGTACATAACCACAAATAAAAAGATAACATAATAAATAATGCACAACAGCAACGGCTAAACTGATGGATTCTTTGTCACAAACAATACTGTACATATTTTTAGTTTCCTCTTTAATGTTACATGGTCAAACACTAACCTAGTACTGTGAAGCCTAGATCCTGCTTCTACTGGAGATAAAACATTTCTGAGAAGCTGGCAGCTGAGAAGTCCACATAAGACACATTTGGTAAAATGTGGATCTTTTTGCAATAAAAATAAGAAATGATTGAAGATCAGGGAATAAAAACAGAGGACCATCATGCAGATACACACTGAAAAATACAAAAGTGCGATACAAATCGCTCATTTGAATTTGCTCCTGCAGTCATTTCATCAATGTGCATTTATAGCAGAAATAGTTTTAGAGTTTGGCAATATAATAATGGCAATGCCCAAAGTCTGATTGGATGTGTAAATAAACACTTAAGTCTTTCTTTTGCTTTTGTCTTTGCAGTATGTTATGTCATTCTGAACATCAAATTGCAGGACTTCTCACATTCACGAAGAAATCAGCTGTGTCTGGCTACAGCAGTGCTTTGGCCAGTGTTCTGTGGTGTTTAAGAAGATTTGCTGAAGAGGCACTGCCTCCCACTACTTCCTCACAGCAGCCGAATAAGCACGTTTTAATGACTTTTGAGGCTGGACTGTATGAAAGAAATGGCCTCTGAGGAGGATATGCATGGTGCAGGGGTAAAGTTCACTCCTGCAGAGACCATGAGTTGGTCATGTGTTCCAACAACCCACAAGTGACCAAGTTTGCAGTTGAGAAAGGCACCAAATAATCTTGCTGCATTAAGAATCTCCACAAGATCCTTTTCTCTATTTGAGATGCTTCCACAGTGAATGTACAAATGTATAGAACTGATAAGATAACATCTTGTACTATACAGGCCACTTTGCACAGCCCATTAACATTAAAATCTTGGCTACAGAGATTCAGAGTACCTGGATCTCTACCTAACAATTAAATTAGTGACTGTTACAGATCTGGCAGTTTTATCTCCTAACTGAATTTCACTCTGCTTTTATACATTGTGTTAAAGATCCTGAAAGTTTAAAGACACACGCAGCATTTCCTGCTTTCCTTTCCTGTCACTTCCTTTGCTCTCAAAGGTATGGGAGGTTCAGAGTTTAGAGGGAAGTAGTGAGTAATAAGATGGGGATACGTAATTTTCTATTCAATGCAGGGTCCAAACTAGTCCTTTCATGTCCAATAATGTGAATATTGCTTTGAATGAATGCTATGAATGTGTGCTATCCCTGAGAGTCTCTCCTGGACAAAGGGAACCCTTGGTTTAATAAGAAATGGCTCTGTGTGGATTTGAATTATGTGAAAAACGCCTACTAAATACATCTATATGTACTATAACCTTCAGACGGCCCCATTCTGTACAAAGAAAATGACAACATGTAAGAGTCTACCTCTTTCATCTTGAAGTAAATTTATATCTATTGCCAGAAGGAAAGCAGAGAACCCAATGTTTTTAATGAGTCAAGGTTTTGGGAAAGCTACACTTAAAATCTCATCAGCATACTAAAAAACAAATAAATAAATAAATAACCAGATAAATATTCAAACAAACAGAGATATACTCAAACTGTAATCATAGAAGAATATTGCTTTATCAAATGTTCCTACTGGATTTTCCCAATTAATACCAGTGGCCATTTGGTGTGAATAAGGCTTAATTGCTTCCCAAAGATGAGTAAATCGCTCTTAATCTGTGTCCCAGAAACTGTCCCAAAAAGGTCTTTATCTTTATAATCATTCTATGATCTAAACTCAACCATTGGTTTAAGCCTGTCACTCTATACAGTAAATCTGTATATATCCTCTCAAACACATGCTGTATGTGGTATTTTGTTCTTACGCAACTAAAAAGAGTGAGAATCATTAAACAAAATAAATGGACTAATAAATGGAGATTCATCTGTAACCACATTAACTATGTTAAGAGAATAGTGTTCTTGAGTATTTCCAGCACATAGTGATACTTTTCTTCTTTCCTCTCAACACAACATAGCACAAGAAATGTGTGACTCATTCGACCATATGTCCTCCATCCCCAGCAATGACCCTGTTTCAGTGTAAGTCTGCTGAGGCAGGGAGGCGAGAGTAACACATTCACTCTGCCAGATTCAGACACAGGCATACAAATAAACACAAAAACACAAACACACAGACTAACACACAGCTATATGCAGCAGCATTAATTATAAAATGGTATTTTGTTGACCTAGTAGGAAGGTTTGTGTTTGTGCATGTGAGGTGTGCTCACTAATGTGGTACAGCTTCGTGGGAACACACACACTTTAAATTGTAGAAACTCAAAAATGACCATTTAATTCATTGTCCTCTCTCATATCAATATCATCATGAGCCACACTGTCACCATGCTCAACTTTCCCAGCAGGTACCTTGTTGTGGAGTAAGAGTTCCACATCGTGAAAAGCAGTCTCTTATGAAGGTCCTCCTCACTGACGACACTGAAAACAAGAGAGAGAGAGAGTAAGTCAGATAGTCTCAAATTCTAACTGTGTCTTGAGGCATAATGCGAGGCATATGTTCGTTCGCAGTGCAGACATGTCTGCATCAGTTTGTGCCATCCAAACAGGAAGAAACTTGAGGGTAATAACAGAAAATACTGGAGAACTAGCCTAGTTTAGACCTCAAATTCACATAAACAACTTTGCAAATGACGCAAAGTGAAAACTCACCTTGCATTCTGTCTGGACAAACCTTTAAAGTATATTTGTATTTCACCAACTAACAATATGACCTGCTCCCACTGAAACTCTGCACAAACATTTATTTGCCACCAATGACCATTGAAGATCAAAAGCGTCAAGAGCTATAGGTATAATGCATAGATGAGCATGCTTATATTTACATATTGCTCACATCCAGGTGGAATTGGCTGACTAAGTAAAGCAGCACTGTCTTATGGCATGGCAACAAAACCAAAATATTATTTTAAAAAAATCTTAAAATGGTATGCAATACATTCAGGACAATTAATGTTTGTAGAAACTGGCTGAATACTCACAAGTAAAAGGTTCGTAAGAAGATGGGGTTCCTACAGTGAGGAACCATCTGAGTCTTCCGTCTGTCTGTAGGATCGCTGTCTGGGAACATGCCAACCTGAAGAACACAGCAAAAGAAAATTACAGGTAGTCTAGTTTCCACCATTGTCTTACAGTGTCAACACGAGCTTTTTTGTATAATTCTGTACAATAGTACATACCTTAACATAAGAGTCACATGGCCCCTGGCACTCTTCCAGCATTCCCCTCGCCTCCAAAACTGTGAATACATAGAAATAGAACCGAATAAATTATCAAACAGCTCATCACATGAGATCAGTTTCCATGAGACTGTTGACTTTCTAGTTACATTAATCATATACTATATGCAGATGAAATTTCAGGTCATCTATTGACTATTGACTATTGACTATTGTCACCAATAGAGAACTAATACTGGTCCCACAAAACAGAATACTGTGGCTGAGATACTGCATGATGCACAATATGTTTGAATGAACTCACTGTTGCTATGAAAGGTTAGGGTCAGACCACATGTACATATATCAAAGATCTAGAGAGTACAAGAGTATTTTAGATATATGCACTGGGCAAGCTGATTTGGTTGTAGAAAAGGGGCTGCCATGTCCAATATGGCTTGCCTGACTCTTATTAACGCATTGTTTCTTGTTGAATCACTATATGTTGAGGGGGAATAAGAGGATGTTTGACTGTTTGGAATAACAAGTTGTGAAAATGATTTAAAAGAATTCCAGTGGCTGAGAACTCAAAAGGGAAATCTGCAAACTTGACAGAAACAGCTGTTCTAGTTGCTCTAGTCTAACGCATTTCTTTTCTGTCTTCATTGCTGCCAGTAAAGCCATTTTACTGCGGGTATTTTATCCTGGACCACAGCACAGCATCGAATGAGATTCCATCCTACTGGTGTTAGCTTAGGGAAAATAGAAGTACATGACAGGGCTTCAGAGGCTATCCGCCCCCACATGGGGCTGAAAAACTACATGAACCTTTAGACAGGATGCTTGCATGAAGTGATTTAATCTATATCAAATCCAACCTGTCAACTTAATACAATATAAAATCACTCACATTTTGTTTATATGTTGTTTCCGCATGGCACAAACTCAGCTGCTGACTATAGCTATCATATATAATAACTGTAAGTATAATAACACATAAATATAATTTCAAAATTTACACTATGTAAAGTAGATAAAGTACAAATTATATTACATAGTGTTGAACCAAGCGGCAACCTCCAGGGCTGAAAACTGCAGTTCCTCAACAGACAGGCTACAAAAGCAAAAATACTCAACTTCACAGCAGAAATAAAGTTGTTTACAGCCTGGGAAAAAAAAACGATTTGGTCTTTATAGCTAATTTCGCCCTCCTGTAACCTGTAAAGGCAGTGAATTTTTATATAACTCATCTGTTTGAATTTTATTAAGGCTTAAAGTTCAGCATAATTGAGGTCGTGCCGCTTTGAATGACAGATGGGTGAGCGTGTGCTTGCCACAAACCAGCATGCACCGAACTCCCAGTAATTTTCTTATGGCTCTACATAAGAAGATCCACCCAGCTGCACACTGAGGTTGAGGTTGCCAACCTGTGCAATTGTGTTTCCCAGTAGGTGACTGCCATTTCTGATTACCTAAGACTCTTCAGCAACACTTGATGACAAATGTAAAATCTCAGAAACCACACACAGTACACAACCAAAGCTTCAAGAGCACTTTGATTCAAAGGCTATGAGTGAGCATATTTTCCATGGTGAAAAAACATAGATGAAGCAAGTATTATATGATGATTTTTTTCTGCGCAGACAGCAGCCACAGTCCCTGAAATAAATACACTCTTTACAAATGTATTTAACATGGTTTTGTGTTTAGAGAGAGACTGGTCAGACTCTATGATAATTTATGAAGACGTACAGTATTTAGTAGTACTGTTGTACTGAGTTGCATTATCTCAAGAGCTGTTTTTAATGTTCTGTCCCCCCTCATGTATGTACAATGAAGTGAAACAATTAGCTATTTATATATTTCCTTGATTGTGTTATGAATCAGAAAAGAGTGGACAAAGACTAATACAGAGAAAAACATCTAGTTTAGCATCTGATGAGTAAATGGCCATTCACACAGAGAAATGACAGGGGCACAAGAGATGCTGAGAGGGGAGACAGAGACTCACAAACAGAAATAGGAGGGTGCATGGCTTTGGTTGCTGGGAGACCAAAATAAACAACCACTTTTGTTAGATTAATGTACCCAGCAAATATTTTACCTCATATGTTGCACATCATATGTGCTATACAAATAAGTTGACTTGTCATTTGCATTTTCAATATTTTATATTAATATTACTGTGAAATATTCTATATGATTTTATCAATATTTTACCAAGCAGGCACACACTGTGTAGTCTCTCTGTATGAGCAGCCTTTAACATGACTCACCACTAACAACAAGTACTTCTTGCTCTTGGACGATTGACAGCTTCATCTGACCTATTGAAAACAAGAGAGGGATGGTTATGATAGGGTATCACTGTTATATAATGGTTCATATTAATGATTAGTTTGGCATTTTGGGAAATACACTTATTTGCTCTCTTGCAGACATCATAACTATTGGTTAAATATGAAGCTATAGTCTGAGGATGTTTGGCTTAGTTTAGCACAAGGGGGTTGTGTACTCCGCTATTTCTTTGCCACACTGACTTTCTGGACTCTCCACTGGTTGCCTGGAAACCTCACAAATCTAAACAATAAAATACCACGTGGGTCTTTACAAGATGTTAATTTGACAACATCAGAACTGGCAGCAGAGGAAAGCAGAGCAACAGTTTTGAAAGTACTACCCACATGCAAACCAAAACGGGTCACATAGCCTCTAGGGGCCGGTAGCCTTTGTGTGCATGTGCGTGTGTGCGTTTGTGTTCTGCACATTGTGGCTGCTCACACTGTTACATTGTGTCATCTCCCATCTGAGGACCAAAGAGTCGGACACTATACGTTTAACTTTTTATTTTTGGTTTAACTTACTTTTCTTGTTTATTGGGTTAAGATGTATATATGTATGTCTCTGTGTATGTGCATGTGTGCATGTGTGCATGTGTGCACGTGCACTGTCTATCATCTGTCACTTTTTCTCTCTCTCCCTCTTTCCTGTAAGTCTCCTAGTGCTGCTAACAGTTCTAGGAGACTTGTTAGCAATGTTGACATGGCCACCGCTAACATTGGCTTTGTGCTATTTTTAATTAATCCTGCTCATAAGGGCTAAAATGTGGGAGCCTCGTTGTGTGATAACACTACTGGCATTTCAGAGCTTGGGTACAAGGGATGTTTGTCGTTCCCACACTGAACTTGGCATGGTTTTGTGCTGCTGGCTGCAATAGAACAAAGTGAAAACACTGTTTGAAATATCTTCCTGGTACGTCTGAACCTTCCTGATACAAAGGTAGTTTCAAAAGTACCAAAATCAGTCTTTATAACATGGTAAGCATAAGACAAACAAAATGGATTGTGGTAATCACAGACTGGCAAAAGAGTTTCAGGACAGCTGCAGTATATAAGAGAACAACAGAATACTGACTACCGTATCTATCCTAGGCTGTTGGAAAACAAAATTCCACCATACAGTTTGGTGCATTTCTGTGCAGGAGAGAGATCAGTCCAATGGATCTGATAATATGTAATCCATGTAAATTAAACACCTTGAGGTGGGAGACTGAGAACGTGACATATAAGTTAGTGTTAATGCTTTTTTTTTTATGGTTTTGCATTTTGTAAATAACTGCATTTTCACAAACACCAATTCTGCTCCAGAGAACCAACAGAAAAACAAGACTGTTGAGTACTGTAAGAGGATATGCCTTTCAAAAGAAGAACTTCCCTGAGTCTAGATGACACTTTTTTTTCCATCTCGCATTGTTTAAAGAGGTAAAATCTAGTCATGTTTGCAGTAAACAGGGAGCAGGAGTGGGAGTTATATTGATTCTAAAATGGGACTTTCTTTCATTCTTGAAGCACTACAAGTGATACCATGTTACACAGAGTCAATACATTGCTCCAGCATATGGAATACATTAGCCTTATTTGTAACATCAGCTCATACAAGGAAAGAAAATCATTATCAAGATGTGGTAAATAGCAGTCATCTGGGATTTAAATGATGGAAAATATGCATGCACAGGTTTTCAGAAGGACAGAGAAGTAATAGGAGGCACAGAGGAGAAGGAGAGAGCTGCTTTTTAGAAAGCAAATGTAAGAGTGGAACACTGACATTTTGTAAGCAGAGGTCACAGTCCGCTAGAGTAAGAGTGAATAAATAGGGCATGGCAGACGAGACAGCACTGTGGGTCAATACATGCACAAATGAAAACACTCCCTCGACACATGAACACACATGAAAATGCAACCCTCCACATACTTACGGATGCATGTCTAATGGTTAAGAACAGATAATGGTCTTGTTCTTAGTTACTGAGTAAGGCGAAAAGGTTTTACAGCCATGCTAGCAGCTCTGTGAGACTATACTTGGCACAGCAGCGCTTTGAGCTAAATGCTAATGTCAACATGCTAAGATTCTAACATGCTGATGTTTAGCATGTATAATGTTTACTGGATTTTAGCACTTAGATTTAAGTTTAGCTTGCTATAATGTGTCAATTACCACTAAACACACAGTACAGCTGAGGCTGTTCTCCGGGTAGTTTTGGTCATAAACTAAATTATCGGATAAATTTACATTATGACCAGATGATGGTGCCAGAAAAAAACGTTTAGATATAGACACAAATTTCTGTACCAAATTGTATAACAATCTACCCCTTTTCTCAAAACCAGCAAAGTTAACGTCATGGTGGCGCTACATGAAAACTCAGGGGATCACCAAAGTCAGTAAGCCTCATCTCAACTAACACTGTTTTAATAATCTTGTATGTCTTCTTAACTCACACCACACGTTTTTATCAGCTTTGCACACGGCCAGAACATGCAACTTTTATGCTCACACTGTATGATGGATCAATGAAATAGCCATGACATACAGTAGGTGTTCACACTGAACATTAGCTGGTCAGTTTAATCAGTTCAATCAGTCCAATTCTAAAATGAGTCAAGCCAAACTTTAAAGAAATGCTACCAGAGACGTTTCCTGGGACGAATCTCTTGTTCTGAAATGCTCTAACTTTAAATAAATTACTAAGATTTATGCGTGACTACCCAATCTACTCTAATAAGAGACATTTCCATCAAGGAATAAAGTTCAACTGTCACAAGAATTTCAAAAACTATTTAATGTTCCTGGAGTAAAACAAATCCTGATCACTGAGCCAAATTTCTGAACTTCGATTGATATCAATATAATTGACTTGATTTGGATATGCTGCTGCCACTTCTTGAAGATCTTAAACAAATATGCATTCCCCTCTCCCTCCCACTCCCCATCCACTGCTTTGACCCTTTAGAAATGTACTGAATGCACCCTCGGGCGGTAGAGATGCCATCCTCAGCCATGGAGCTGATGTGCATGCGAGGATTTAGAGCAGGAGACACTTAAAAATGCCACGCTTCTCCAGGTGAAGGAAGGTCGAAGGAGAACAAGCCTTCAGTGTTAGAGAGATGCCAACCTTTCAACCTTTACAGAGAGAAGGAGAGAGAATCTATAATTAAAGCAAGGTAGAATAATAAAAAGTCTAGAATGAGATTTTTTTATAGCAGCAGTAAAAAATAATGAGTCCCCTCAACAATAAAACTATTCAGCACTTTGGAGAGTCAGAACCGGTTATACTGAAAGACAGAGAACTAGACAGGAAAGAATAAAAAGGATAAACTCAGCTATAGTGCTAAAGAAAATATTTATTACTCTGACTACAAAGAACAGAGACCCAATTTTCTAGTGTTTGCATTTAACATAGAGTCACAGTGCTGTAAAGACCGAGGCTATTCACAAAGCTGCAAACACCTTTAATTTACATGGAAATTAAAAACTATAAGTCCTTGGGTCCTTGTGTATCTTTTATTACGCACTCTACTTCCACTTATTCTATAAAAGCACAATCACTGACCCCCACAATCAATTTCCAAACAAAATTGGTCTCCACTTTGGACCAAAACTGTGAATGTTTTTTTGCAGACTTCCACTAAAGTAAAAACGCAAAAAATAAAATTCAACTTCAACATGTTACTGTGCTCAACCTTCAACATCATGCACTTCTTTTTCTGTTGTCTATCCTCAGTGTTTTTTGTATTTAGCTATTTGCTAGGGTGATCTTTGTTGAACAAGTGAGTCATATTTTTGTTTCATTCCTTCTTTATATGCAAGACCTATTTTCCTATTACATTAAATTTTTTATCATGTTCCTCCCAGCAATCTGTTTATTTCAGACTTAATTTCACTGACACTGAAATCAACTGCCATTAAATCCTTGCCTAACATACTTCCAACTTAACCCGATAAATTGTGAAGAATTTGTGAAACTGTGTGTGAAAAAAACACTATGCAAGGCTAGCAAAATACTGTTAGCCATATTCAACTAGTAAGATATAGAAAAAGAGATTTAAGGAAGGAGACAGAGATGGATAGAAAGCTCAGAGCCAGAGCCGATATTGACAGTAGGTTACTCTCTGTCTGACATCTCTACTGCTGAGCCTGTCCTTGTTCATGTGCCAGCTCAATTAGGCCACAAAGTGCTGTTGCCTGTCCAGTAACAGGGCATGAGTACAGCTAAGTCAGCACTAATCTACCATGAATTTTGGATAGGTTCATAAAACATCCTGTGACCAAGGTACATACTACTACAAACTTTACACACATCAAACCATACAGATCAAAACAAAAAACAACATGCATACTGTACATATATCCAGCCATGTCTCAAATATCAAGTACGAGCTTGAACATCTGTTATTGGTTCTCCATGTCGACACATACAAAACTGCAACATCCATTTTGCCACATTTTGTCAGACAAGCAAGCGTTTGAAATGTTGCCCTACTTTGTCATTGCAACAGCGGGTCTGTCATTGGTGCTGTCACTCAAGATGATGCTATGCTGCCATGTACCTCTGAGGCTTTACTCATGAGTCAATGCTGATAACAACCCAAGGCCATAACAACCACTGAAGACACAAAGATACAATCAGTTCAGGAACGGAATGAACAGTCTTTAATAATTTCTCAATACTACAGAAAGTAACCCCAGAACACATCTTCAATCAAATTAGTAACAAACGAAGAAAAGGCCTATGTATTGCATCTTGTGTGTCTCTTCGTTATCCTCTACCTCCCTCCTCTACCTCCTTCTCTGCTTAAATAGGCTTGGCTGCTTATTTGTCAAATTTACATGTGAAAACCTCTGCCCCACCAGCATCCAATAAGGCCAGGCCAGAGTACACTGTTGGTCTTTATGTGACAGCTAAAGTAGCCATTATCAGCAGAAAGGAGCAAGAAAAGAGAGCTGAGTTAATCCATGTTCTGTAACATTTTCTGTGAGAACGGGGGCCATTTTGAAAAGTTGGGAAACTGCTGTGCATAGGATTTAAAGTTTTCATCTGGGTAGGACGCCAATTCATCCTATTTGATCCAAAGGGGGAACAAAGAGCAGATTTGATGAAAGACACACAAGGTGTCCTCCTGTTTCATGCTGAATTTCTTTTAACGGGCTTGTTATGTAACTTCCCAAAGCTCATCTTCTTCTGTGTTAGCTGCCAAAAGCAGTGCGGTGGAGCTCTTGCTGAATTATCTAATCAGGGGAGTAGATCAAATTCATTGTGTGCATCAAATCCATAGAGGGAGACACCTACACGTCAGATGCCAATATGCCCTGACTGAGTATTATTTAATGGCTTTGAAGAGTAAGGTCTAGGGGAATTCAGTAACTGGAAGAGTGCACATTTCATATTTCTAAAAGGCCTTGGCCTGTGTTTAATATTTAAGAACCTGAAATGCTCCGTGCACTTTCATCATGATGACAAGAAACTTCCATCAATCACACACATCATTGCCCGGTGTAGGAGGGGAAGAGAGTTAAATGTCATGAAAATACAAATAATGGGGCACAAAAGACACTAAACCCTGACTCGGTGTAATTTCTGATGATGCTCATTTTTGGCTAACTCAACAAGCAGAATAATTTGGAATTGTAGAAAAACAAAGTGGTAAGAGACATTATTATGACTTATTTAATAGCTCAGTAGTAGCTCAGTAGTTAAATGGATCTATAGGTGCATCTCTCATCCTTATTGCAAATTTGAGACCTTGTTCTGTTTTTTGGGTAGGCGGCATTATTATTCCTCATACTGACTAGAAAGAAGCAAAATATATCTGCTAATCTGATTAATATCCCTTTGGAAGTACAATTTACTTTCTTTCTTTCTTATTTAACTTTTATTTACTCTTTATTCTTTCAATATTAGAGTCATTTCTCTTGTTCCTTTCTTCTCTCCCTGTCCAACCTTCATCCATAACTTTTCTCTGCCTCTTCCTTTCTGTCTGTCTGACTCAGCCATTGCCCGAAATCCCAGTCAGTGGTGCAGTAATTAACTCTACACAGCGAGTGTGACTGTCAAACACAAGGAAGCAAAAGACACAAAAGCTGAACAAAGAGAAAACTTAGCTCAAACCACTACAGTGAGTAGTTACACATCTAAACTTGTCAAGTCACTTTAAATTTCCTAGCAGCAAACTGGGCCATTTACTGTTACTATTAGAAAGCAAAAAATACATTTGTGCCCTAGTTGTTGCTAGCCTCAGCCTCACATGTGTATCTGTAAAGTTTTTTGGAAGTCTTTTTGTTTATTTTTTGTTTGTCTTACAAAGTGAAAAGATTAATAGGTGCAGAAGTTGCTACTACCTGAACATTTAGAGTAAACCACCAAAGTATTGTGCTGCAGTCAAATTCATAACTTAACACATATCATATCTTGGAAAGAACTGGAGGTTCAGTTTGTAGCAGGGAAAACTATACTTTAGACAAGGTACAAAAGCCTGGGAAGTGAAAGCATTAGGTCTTGACCAGGTTGGCTGCTGTAACTTATTCTTTGGCAGTGAAAAATCTTTCCCTCAGGGTGACCACAGTCACACTCTACCAAACAACGGAAGCTTTCTGGAAGAAGTCAAGCCAATGTCAAAGTTTGACCCAGTTCTGAAAGGGCACACTGTCAGAATAAACTCATCGAGTGCTCAAGTGGAAGGATCATGCACAATAATACCACATATTATCTGAAATCCAATCATCTAACTATTAACTTTATAGTTTTAGCTGGAATGCCTGATGTCAGAATAGCCGAGTGCGACACGTTAAAATGGATCACACAGAGACACCACAAATGATTCAGAATGGTCCACAGAGGAAACCCTGTGATCTCTCATTTTGACTAGGCTCCAAGAACTAAATATCATGTTTAAGGACAGCAGAGGTCAGACATGTGACTGTGGTACCAATATGAGAGGGAAAGAAGGGTGTCCAAGCAAATTTTGGAGTTGTACCCAAGAGGCTTATTTGTGATATATGGGTCAGATCTGAATTTAGCAAATGCAGCAGAAAGCTCTTGAGACTTCTTGGGCTACTCTAGGTACCTTCATAAACCCCTGAGTTCTATTTCAACAAAGTTGTGGGACGTACAGTATGTATGATGTAAGTATGACACGTAATTATCTACAGATACAACAAGATGGGGCACCAGATAAAGACACTTGTGGAGGGGAAAGAGAAAACAAAAGTTGAAGAACAGTGCTTGACTGATACAGGTCCAGTGCTTCAAAAAGGCAAGCCCAGCAATAAGAATATAAATTTCTCTGATATTTTGCTATGTGTGGAAATGAATCCTCCAAATAGGCCTTTAATGTCAGCCACAGCCAAAACAAATCCCGTACCCCCACCCACCCCCAGACCACCTCCTTAGACCCCCACAAATGTATCGAAGGCACAAACTACTAAAGCCAGCCCAACAAATGCAACCACACCCCTGTAATACCTTATCCATATTCATTTGTGTGGAAAGGTAAGTACTGGATAATGGATGAGGCTTTAGTGTTACAGTAAACAGTGCAGGTGCACACTCCTCCAGTGTGGCTAATACCCTCCATAAATGATTCAGGGTGTCACCAGATAAGGAGGAGCAGCCTCATTACCAGACCAAAAGACTTGTTACAACATCTGAGCCCACTTGTTGCTGCAAGTAACATCCTTCTCATTTTAGACACACTGCAGGATCCAGTCTCTATGCTATCTGACCTATATGACACAATCCGTTATATAACACATTCCTGTATTGTCAGCATGATAAATAAATAAGACAGATAAACACAGATACAGACAGACACTCCTTTGCAGTCTTTTGGTTGAGGCTATTGTGGAGGCATGTCAAAAACTTTTTTTAACAAACTATCACATACTACAGTCTAAAACTACAGTCTATTATCCTGGACCAAAAAAAGGAATTTAACTCACCATGGGTGCTGAGGAGGAAGGATGATGTGTGAGGGGAGTTGGCAGGGGGCTTCCGCAGGTAAACTCTGAGACAGGTCATCTTGGAGGGAGCATGCTGGCTGCCTCTGCAGGTCAGATGCTCTCAGCAGCTACAAAGAAGAGAAGAAGCGAAACTTGATGCCTGTTTTTCTGTGTGTGTGTGTGTGTGTGTGAGAGTGTGTGTGTGTGTGTGTGTGTGTGTGTGTGTGTGTGTGTGTGTGTGTGCATGTGCATGTGCATGTGCATGTGCATGCATTTGTTTGGATTAATTTGAAGACAAAGATAGGCAGTAAAAACTAAACAGAAAAAATTCTCAGAAATGCATACATGTTTTTTTCAGTTTGACCTCATGCTTCAAACAGTAGTAGCATGTGACCTGTTTTCACAGCTGGCAATTACAGGGCACAAGTGTTTTGTTTTGCAAGTATGCTGTCAGCTTTAGCAGTCAGGGCTAGACCACAATGACTGTTGGAATTCACCACTTTTATCTGTATACAACATACATTTCAATCTGTGTAATAGACTAACCAATACATCTTGTTACCCATAGTTATATGAAATGTGCATGTGCACAATATGTACAAAAATTGTTCAAACACTTGTTCCTATAGTCTGTACTACTGACATTCTCACACCACAGCTCTCTCATCTATACAAGTGGTGTAGCCTCTGGCCAGGATTTTATAATTATCTGCCCTAAATGTGGGCCAAATGTGGCTTGTAAAGGAGTCGGACATGCAGCAACGGCAACATTACTAAGCTTAGTTATGGTCTTTAAATCATTTATCCAAGAAAGACAAGAAAAAATCCAAGAGTACCACATACGTACAAAAGCCTATTTCACAGGATTCATCTGAATATTTTGATTAATCCTGTTTAATCTTCCTGTTGTTCATGAACGACCTACTGGTAACAAATGGCTTTGCATTTGAGGTAAAAAAGAAATATATTGTTACCAAAAAAAAAAAGGCTTCTCTCTGTTATAATACAGCAGTTTCCTGCCTTTCTATGGGCTGGTTGGTTTAGCATCAATTGGTGGCGAGCAAAGACAATATGGGCTACATTCAGTGTATTTGTTTACAACTGCACTTGGCATCTGTCAGATGGATTTGTAGTCATTTGACAAATACAAACAGACCAGAATATTAATAATATGTGAGGGACCTTAACAATGACCACTCACTTTCCAAGGATTGATCTGGTTCCCAGAGGCAAATTTAAGTATTTTCCCATTTATTTTAATGGTCAGATTTTTTTTATTAAATAACATATACCATGTCTCAAAGATCATCCATATTAATTTAAGTCAACAAGGAACAAATAACAGAAACAAAAGCAATCTACAGCCACCTAAACAACAATGATAGAAAGACAAAAAAACATGTTTTTAATACCCAGATTAAATCATTAGTGTAGAATTGACAGAACTAAGCCAGTGTTGTGGTTGTGTGGCAATAATCCAGATTACTTTACAGCATGACTTAACACACCTCCGGGTGAAATGTGACACAACAGCGATCGCTACGGCACATTGTTTTGACATCTTGCCCAGTGGCAGTGTACCAGTAACCCAGAGATGAACTTTCCATTTTAATCCTGATTACCAAACTGCCCACCCACCAAGAAGGCACCCAAATCAAGCTTTATTTAAGGGAGATGAAAAAAGCTTGTAGCTGAATTGCTTTCCACCTACCACACACAGTGTCCAAATTCAAATCAGCAAGTATTGTACAAGCAGCATGCCCGCAATAGCATGAAACTATTTTGGGCTGACAAAAAATACATCTCCAATTATCTCTTTCTCCTGCCTCTCGTCCCTTCCTCAGGATTTTGAAAAGTCATAATCATGTTCCTTTTTCCTCTCATTCTGTCGCCACAAAAAGCCCTGATTTATTTGGTCCTTATCAGTTACAGCAAAGAGAAAACAAAGGAATTCTCTGAAACTCATACTCTGCTTCCCTGAAGGGGAAACCGGGCAGATAATGCTTAAGTGGTATGGCATGGTCAGAACAGGGCTTACATATGGCAGTCTCACACACGGAGACACTAAAATACAAATAGTTTTTAGGCCATTTCAAACATTTTAAATATATATAAATATTGGATATATTCTCTAATTATATGTTGGATTCTGTTTTTATCATTTTACCTGTTTTTCATGTACAAATTCTACATCTCCTGCTGCTAAGCCATGCACCTTGCAATACATTGCAATATACATTTCTCCTTAATATGAATTTTTGAGTTGTTAATCGAGTGCACCTAGTTGTACTAGTTATATTTTTGACATATCCTATTATTACTTGTCATGATAACAAATGTTTGATATAAAGTAATCCAGAAGCTGAAAAACTTCCATCACAATTTCCTAGAGCCCAACGTGACCTCAACAAATGCCTTTTGGAGCTATGGTCCAAATCCAAAAATATTCAATTATAATGCAAGAAAGTTCCAGGTCTCACTTTTGGGAACCTGGGACCATCAAATATTTGGCATCTCTGCTTGAAAAATGACCTGACCGATTCATCAATCATCAAAATAGCCGATTCATTTTCCTCCAATCTACTAATCTATAAATCAACTAATCGCTGCAGCGCTACATATTTTATATACTATACGGTTCAAAATATTGTTCAAAAATCTCTAATATAAAGTGATGCATGACGAGAGTAGCAGTAGTAGAATGTATTAGCCACTGAATGATCAATATCACAAGCAACAAAAGCTGTGGTCAAAACCAGAGTCCCCTGAAGACAGATATAAAAAAATATTGCTATTTCCTTAATAGGTTCAAGCATGATATGAATTGCAAGGTATGGACATACAGTTAGTGCAAGGCAGAGTCATGTGACAAAGGTGAAATGTCAAGTGTAACTGGAAGGAAAAAGTGGAGGCGAAGGAGACTTAATTAAGATGGAGAAGATATGTAGGAGAGAGCGGAATAGAGAAGAACAGATGAATTTTCAATTTGCGCTGGAAGATTGGGGATGACTGTGCAGTTTTGGCTGGGGGTGAATTTCATCATTGTGGAAAGAGAAGAGAGAGGCCTGTGTGGAGAGATCTCCAGATTACCACAGGTGACAGCTAAGCACCTGGTGGGAACAGACTGGAGAGCATGGATGCTGAATCAATAAAGTGAGTGACACATTGGATAAGTCTATGAGACATACATCTAGTAACAAGTTTTGGACTTATCGGTAAAAACAAGCATTTTGAGGACATCACCTTGGGCTCCTACGTGGCGGGCGTTTTTCACTATTTTCTGACGTTATATAGGCTAAATAATTAAATCAAAAAAATTGTCAATAATTTAAATAATCATTAGTTGCAGCCCTACCCAGTTTACAAAAGGCAATAATGACTTCTTATTTTTGAAATTATTTTGATATATTCATGTGATGTTAAAAAGGAGGTAAACGAAGTCCGTACAGCAGCAGTAGTAGTAGTAATAGTAGTTATAGTTGTAGCAGAGTAGGTTGTTTTTTTTTTTTATCTTAGGCTGATACTACAGTCTTCCTTCACATTATCTTATGCTACTGTGAGTTATAGTGCTCTGTTTTTGGTAAATGGTAAATGGACTTGCACTTATATAGCGCTTTTCTAGTCTTACTGACCACTCGAAGCGCTTTACAATACTTGCCACATTCACCAATTCACTCACACATTCATGCATCACACTCATACACTGATGTAACAGCCATCAGGGGCAATGGGGGGGTTCAGTATTTTACCCAAGGACACTTCGACATGGGGCCTGGAGGAGCCAGGGATCAAACCACTGACCTTCTAATTAGTGGATGACCCGCTCTACCTCCTGAGCCACATGTTGAAGGTTTGCTTACTCTCCAGCCCACTTCCTAACACCTCAGTCTACAAGTCCATCTCGACTGGCACCAATGAGGCAATACTGCTCATTAACGAAGAACACCTGTTTTTTGACACCAACATTTCTTTGAGTTGTGGCCTTGTTCCTGTCTTACACATGGTCTTGAATGTGCAGTTGCTTCATCAAAGCAACCCCATGAATCTGTTATCCATTTCAGGGTGACATATTGATGCTGTGAAGTTCTTGAAGAGGTCAAGCCTGCAGACAGGTCCACAGTGTTGCTGTAAACCTCCAAGGTCTATAGGACAAAGCCTCCGTTTTCTTTTAGGTTTATAGCTTGTTGTATGCCCAGTGTTCTTGTTTTTTCTTTTGAAGTGCCAATATGAGCTACCAACTATTCAGCATAGTAGTGTAAGACACTATGCTTTAGGAGTGAGAGTGAAGTGTTACTCATTTACTGTACTTGAGTCTTATTTTGAGGTACTTTACTTGATTATTTCCATTTTCTGCTAAATTTTACTTCTGCTACACTACATTTCAGAGGGGAAATACTGAATTTGTACTGCATTACATTAATTTGACAGCTATAATCCCAAATTACTTTGCATTTTAAGATTTCATAGACCCCTCATAAAATGGAGGTTGTTTGTGCTTTCTCACATTCTATAAGATAAGATTTGCAACCAATTTTCCGCCTACAGAGTTATTTTATTCTTAGCAGCTGCAATAAACCAACTTCTTTGAAATACAAATTAAATGCTTATTTGACACAAATCTGTGCACATATGAAGGTAGATGTATGTGCAATCAATAGGTATAGAATATAAATCATCATTAAAAAATGTTTGCTTTGCTGCTTTTACATATGAAACATCACATTGATTCAGAAAATAACTCTCAAATGTTTATCCTTTTCCTTCTTTTGTTCATTCATTTACTAACTCCTTCACATACTGTACAATTTACTGCTCCTCTTTGCCGTTAGGAGGTAAGGCAGTATCTAAAGAGGACTTAACTGATGCAGAATTTGTTCACTCAGCTCCTACTGTATCTGCAACACTGCTGACTGTGACACTTTGCATTTACATTCATATGTGACTTTGTTAATGTACATTCCTGTTTCAGATTATATCTTTATTATTCCATGTTCCTCTGAGTTTATCTGATTCTGGGCATCACCATCAAAGTCACTGTATCTCTTCATTCCTGACACCCCATTACTTTTTTATTTCTATTTAGCAGTAATTCAAATAAACCTCAGTGAAGGCAAATGAAATACATTGTTGTTGTTTTGTTTTTAAAGAATATCTTTTGTATTTATATTATAAAAAAGACTCCCAGACAAGCCAGGGAACATTTAGGACACGCTGTAATTTGATGTTTTAAATAAAAAGTACAATGGCACAGCCTACTGGCCATACTATGAAATGCAAGTGACAGTGAATTGTGAACGAAACGCAATGCAAATTAATAGACATACTTCCCAACGCAAGTCCCACATATCAAGAAAAAACATTTGACATTTACTGCAGGTTACAAATGCAATTGAAAATGCATGCATGTACTTATTTCAGATGTGGTGATGCACATGCAAACTAATTTCTGATACATTTATTGTATTGTATTATTGTATTTTCTATTTCAAAAGTAGTACAAAACTACTAAAATGTATCTCAATTTTCTTATTATGGCATTAAAGGCACTTTACAGATCCTGCAACATCTACACATAACCACAAGATGTCACAACTCCACCTACTCCTTACTCCTAATGCAAATCAGCTGCAGTCCTGTCTAATGGTTTGTAAATGTGCATAAAAAGTTGATGTAGGCTTAGGTGCTTCATTTTCAATACTGTTTCACTACTCTGCCATTCTCTGAATAAACATTATAGGCAACTTCTTACAGCATTGTATCTTTTTACTGTTAATGTGGAGACTGGGGCGCATGGGGAGCAGGGAAATCAGTCTGCAACTTACAAATTGTCAAATTGTTTCTCATAATGGATATTGTCCCTTTGGACATGAAAAATATTTTCTGCTGCACAATTAATACATGTTTTTACCAGCTGATACTGTTGAAACACAGACTTAATTAGTTTGGTGGGCCTACACGTTTTCTTTTCTTCACTTTTCTGTTTTTGGGATGTAAAATAACAACTTTTATCGATGGAGATATGTAAACTTTTGCTACCATCTTTGTTTGGCTGAACTGGAAAGCATCTTCCAAACAGCTTTTTTAGCGCTTTTCAAATGTCTTGCTGGGCTTTTTGAACTATGACTTTTAAAATTAGCTAGCTGTGTAACTCAAGTTATCAATGCAAAAAAAAAGTGTGGTGCTGCTGTCAACCAGACCCTACCTTTTTATTTGAAGTGGAAGACAGAAGTTTTTAGGCCAAACGGGACCTGAAGACACTGTTTGGCAGAGATCTCTTTTCCTACATTGTGACAAGTTCATATTAACCTTTGCAGCAGCCAGCCGAAACATGGGTGGGAGGGAAGCGAAAAGCGAACTGCGCACGCGCATCAACATGGCAACTACGTTTGGAACGTGTGTCAACCGACGTTGCCAACGTAACAATTTGCGTAATGTTGTCAACGTAGAGTTGTGCTATGGCTGGGAGTTGAGTATTTTAGATAACTTTACAGTTTTATTTTGCGTACAACCACTGCCATTGAATGGACAACAGAAATTGGCAGTCGTGGTGCCAGAGAATATCGAACTTCAGTTGAATGCCATGGATTAGTCTCTCCTCTTTCCACCCGGAAAAAGGGGTTAGTGGGGAGGAAGCTCTTCACATGCTCAAATCAGTTAGCAAGTAGCGGCTTGATGGCGCTCAGTGTGTTCCCAATTCTGGTATTGTCGCTATACTAACCTGTCTTTCACAAAAAAGAATTACGACTTAAAAGTCACCCTTCACTGAGGGTAAAGGGGTTCTCAAGAAGAACTATAAAAATAGCTAACTCTCTGGGTTGCCTCGGCTGTAGCTACATTTCACGTAAGGACTTCTGCGGATACCATTTTCTCAGAGTCCTTTACGACCATAAGTAAAACTAATCATTGTGACGAAGGTTTTTAGTGTAACAGCTATTTGTTTTCCCAGCCAATCGCCACTGAAAATGTAATGGATTGATCATTGACCGTAGAAGTACGGAATAACAGTAACACTAGATTCATTCAAATATCTTTGACAGCTATGGAGATTCTCCCAGTACTTGACCCACTAGATAAACCCAAAGAAAGACTATGGTAAGTGAATTAAGATTAATCGTGGTACTTGTGATGTTGAAAAAAGTAAGATTTTGCCTTTCTTTTGCTAATACTTTGTTGTTTTCACCAGGTATTCCTTGATACCCAGAGGAAGTGCTCCAGGTGTTAGTGTGGGTCACACCTGCACATTTACTCCATGTGGAGAAGGAGGAAAAGGAAGAATACTTATTGTTGGGGGAGCCAACCCCAGTGGCAGTTTCTCACATTCCCAGATCATAAATCTAGGTAAAAAAAAAAAAAAGTGAGCAAAGAATCTGTTTTGGGATATGACATCTGCATAACTGTGTTATAAAGCACCTGTGTTTTGGCTTTTGTTGATACCATCAGCTGTATAAAGACTTGTTCAAACATAACAAGTAAAACTAACAACAAATTTGACCTAGGCTAGGTTAGTTGTTTAATCTATTTGTCATAAAATAATAATCACCACTGACAAATGTGCAATTTACTGTATGTGTAGGGAAAAGAGGTCCATTTATAATGTTTAGGTGCTGAGTTTGTTAATTATATTGATGACATCAGGACCAGTTACTGTATAATTGTGTTGTTTCTGACTTCACCAGATAACCATGAATGGGACATTCCAGACTGGGAGGGTTTGGAGGCACGTTATGAACACTGCAGCTTTGTGCCAGAGAGCTGCCCACAGAGCCTGTGGGTGTTTGGGGGGGCACAGCAGAATGGCAATCGCAGTTGTATCCAGAATATACAGCTTAAAGGTAAATCTAAACTTATTTCACCTAGCAATATGGGTTTAGTTAGAGAGTGTGCGGGTGAGTTCACAAATAAACAAGACTTTATTAATTGGAGATGACTTCGCCCTCTGACTGTAATACATGATTGTTAGTCTCAGATTTAGACGGACAGTCTGTTCAATGTTGCTGTGCTCTGAGCATCAGGTTGATTGTACAACATGTGACCATTGCTTTCTGTAGATAGAGAACAAGCCATTTTTATACTGGTGTCATTTGTATATTTGTCCAGACAGTGGGTCTCACTGGAAAGATGTATCGGTAAAAGGGAAACCCCCCTGTCCCAGGACGTACCACACCAACTCAGCCTGTCTTGGGGACAGATTGTATGTCTTTTTTGGTGGTGAAGCAGGAGCTGAACCTGTGTCAGACCAAAAACTTCATGTCTTCGATGCAGGTTTGTGTTGAATTAACCAGTTGCCTAACATGATTGTAACAAGCAGCGCTGTAAGAGGTGGAATTAGCTTTGATTTCACTTTCACAACAGTCAAAACATTTCAAACTTCACGTTGCACCAATGTGCAGACATTTTGTCCCTCTGCTTAGTATTCTCTTAAAGTAAAATTACTTCTTAAATGAATTAGCCTAGAAATACAAGACAGTCTTTATTACCGTGGTGTGTTAGATTTAATAGCTGTTAACCATTTGTGATTTTTAGGAGATCGTATGATAGAGCTTAATGTGCATCTTTTATAGATGCATGAATACTGAAGAAGATAGATGTTAAACAACACAAATCCTCAAATGTTTAATACTATTGTAGCTCCCATACACATGGTTACACCTCCACAGGGGTTTTCAATTATTTTGGCACCTGTTAAGACACACGTTAATCATGCAGTCTGTAATTGTGATTATATTTGAAAAAAAATCAAAAGTATTTTTGATGTCAAACTAAGCATTTTGTGTTTGAGCCAAAATACGCATCAAAATAATTTGGTATGAAGTAGTTTTTCTCATCTTGTTTTAATTAAGGTATGGACAAGACAAATAATGCATCTTAATTCTCATCTTGCTCACATAATGTAACTGTGTTCCAGTGTCTTCCACCTGGTCCCAACCAGAAACACAAGGCAGATGCCCACCAGCCAGACACGGCCACATTATTGTAGCAGTGGGCTCAAAGATCTACATTCATGGAGGCATGGCTGGAGACAAATTCCACAGTGACATGTACTGTCTTGACACAGGTAAGCCTGAACATTGTCAGAAGATTTCAGTTTCCCAACTGCCTTGCATTTATTTCAACTCTTACTTGGATGCTTCAAAAATTGTATATCTGGAAAAAATAAGAGTGTGTCCACTATTTAAAGGGACCATGAAGTGGGAGACAGTGCGGGCCAAAGGAGACATCCCACCAGGAGTAGCAGCACACTCAGTTGTGGTGCTGGGCAAGAACATTTACATCTTCGGAGGGATGACTGCAGATGGAGCTAGCAACTCCATGTACAAATTCAACACTGGTATACTGCCTTTAACCTATGGGACTGAAAATTGATTTGCTTAATTATTTGATACAATAACTGTTAGTGTTATATATATTACATAAATTAAGCAGTTTGGTTCTTAACAAAAAACCAAGTTAAATTTTTGTTTATATTTTCATGTTATACTCTGTTTGCAGACAAAGGTAGATGGGTCCTAATGAAATTTGAAGGAGATATGCCACCGAACCGCCTAGACCACTCCATGTGTTTATTGCCATGGAAGGTGTGTGATGAGCGAAACGGAGATGAGGGGCGAGCAGACAGCCCAGCGGGATCAGAGACAATACATCTGGCCTTTGTATTTGGAGGGATGGACACCCATGGTGTCATACATAATGATTGTATTGTGACTGTGGTAACATGATGTGCCTTGGTGTTGTAATATTAATTTACTGAAGTTGTAATAAAAAGTTTAGTACTATGTAGTTTGTCTTTTTAATCTGAAACCCTAAAACTGCTGCAGAAGTCAATTTATTTTTTGAACATTGAAATGAACTTTGTTTAGCAAATACTACAGAGTTCTGAAGCATAAATCTGAGAGGTAAAAAAAGGCCTCAAATTTTAATTTGAGCCAGTGGTGAATACCTTCAAGTGGACACAGTATTCAGTGATTAGGAACATTTCATGGTCTATGCCAAATGTAATACCCTAAAATTGTAAATGAAAGCAACAAGAGACAATGAAGTATCATTTTATATCAAACATTTATTTCAATGTCTTTCCAGAAGTACGATGACCAGATTCAATAAATAACTTTTAGCTTTGCCTGTGAACATAATGAGCCCTTGATCCCACAGACACCTACTCAATGGCCCCACAAAAACTTGCCCGCCCGCCCGCCCCACCCCACCCCACTAAGCCCCTCCCCACTACAGAGCCCCATTGGAACTGCCTGAGAACAGCAGCAGCAAGCCTCATACTGGGCTGACGAATATCTCCGCCTTCCAGCGAAGAGAACACCTCTCACACACTGAAACTTATTTTATAGTCTTTCTGAAGATTCAGTATGTTTGCTTGTTATCGCCACCCCTTCCCAACCATTCCTCTCACTATTTGAGTCCCATCAGTCCAATATGTACATCTAGATGCCACTACCAGAGAGGCAAGGGGTGACAGAAGAGTTGACTTCAAACCTGCCTACAACTCATCCTTCTCATCTTGCTCACTGTCAGCGCCCTCAGGTGGGGGTCCGCCCGCACTACCATAAAGCTTGCTGATAATGGGTTGAACAATCTCCTCCAGCTCCTTCTTTTTGGCCTGGAAGTCTTCCAGCTCAGCATCTTGGTGTGACTCCATCCACTCAATCTTCTCCTCAACTGCCTTCTCAATGGCTTCCTTATCGTCATCTGACAGCTTGCCACCAAGCTTCTCCTTGTCGCTGATCTGGTTCTTCAGAGAGTAGGCATAGCTCTCCAACTCATTACGGGCGTCGATCCTCTCTTTCAGCTTCTTGTCCTCATCAGCAAAGCGCTCAGCGTCATTCACCATGCGCTCAATATCCTCAGGTGTCAGGCGGTTCTGGTCGTTTGTGATTGTGATCTTGTTCTTGTTGCCTGTGCCCTTGTCCTCAGCAGTGACACGCAGAATACCGTTGACATCAATCTCAAAGGTGACTTCAATCTGTGGTACACCACGAGGGGCAGGAGGGATGCCAGTCAGGTCGAAGGTGCCCAGCAGATGGTTGTCTTTTGTCAGAGGACGCTCACCTGAAGAGAGAATCAATAATTAAGCTTGTGCTACATTTGATTTCTGTTGTATATGGAGGAAAATGCAAATGATGATGTTTGCCATTAGATTTTTTAAAATTATGTTTGGCAAGTTTACACTACAATGTAATATTCTTACCTTCATAGACCTTAATGGTTACAGTGGGCTGGTTATCAGAGGCTGTAGAAAAGATCTGGGATTTCTTGGTGGGCACCACAGTGTTCCTGGGGATCAGTTTGGTCATTACTCCTCCAACGGTCTCAATACCAAGAGTAAGGGGGCACACGTCCAGAAGAACCACATCCCCTTTAAGAGAAGAAAACATTAGTAAACAGGATTAAAAAAAAATGAAAGCCTGGATCAGTAACACCTGGATCAGCCTGTATACGAGGATGATGACTTACCAGTGTCCTCCTCTCCAGAGAGCACTCCAGCCTGCACAGCAGCTCCATATGCCACAGCCTCGTCAGGGTTGATGCCTCTAGAGGGCTCTTTGCCATTGAAGAACTCCTTCACCAGCTGCTGGATTTTGGGGATACGGGTGGAGCCTCCAACCAGGACAATCTCATCAATGTCAGACTTCTTCAGGTCAGCATCTTCAAGCACCTTCTGTACAGGCTTCATGGTGGAACGGAACAGGTCCTAAAAGGGTAAAAGACATGTTTAATAAGCTTGTCAAACATAGGGTCTATAAAAACTTGTTTCGTTTGTGCTATAGTCATTGTTTTTGCATAACTCATCTGAATAACTTACCATGTTCAGCTCCTCAAACTTGGCACGGGTCAGGGTCTCAGAGAAGTCTTCTCCCTCAAAGAAGGACTCAATCTCAATACGGGACTGGTGCTGGGCAGACAGTGCCCTCTTTGCCTTCTCAACCTCACGACGCAGTTTCTGCACAGCACGGTTGTCCTTGCGCACATCTTTGCCAGTCTTCTTCTTGTACAGCTTGATGAAGTGCTCCATGACACGCTGGTCAAAGTCTTCACCTCCCAGGTGAGTGTCTCCGTTGGTGGCCACCACTTCAAACACACCATTGTCTATGGTAAGGAGGGAGACATCGAAGGTGCCACCACCCAGATCGAACACAAGAATGTTCTTCTCTCCATCCCTCTTGTCTAGGCCATAAGCAATGGCAGCAGCAGTTCTAAAAGATACAGTTATGGTTGTCTATTATTATAAGGGAAGGGAGGGAGATATTTTCACAATTTCAGAAGGACAATAGATAAGTAAATTATTTTCAGTGGACACTTACGGCCTCAGTTGATGATTATTGTAACATTCAGACCAGCGATGGTACCAGCATCCTTAGTGGCCTGGCGCTGGGCATCGTTGAAGTAGGCAGGGACAGTGACCACAGCATGTGTGACCTGAGGAAAAAAATAATAAAATTAGAGTCAATTATACAGTTAATTTAGGACTGGGATATTATTTGGTATATAGTCTTTAGCATTTTGTTGTACCTTCTTGCCCAGGTAAGCCTCAGCAGTCTCCTTCATCTTAGTCAGCACCATGGCAGAGATCTCCTCAGGAGCAAATGTCTTCATCTGGCCACCACCAATGTCAACCTGGATATGGGGCTTGCTCTTCTTCTCAGTAACCTAAGGAGGAACATCCATCAGCATTAATATCCCAAGTATGACCACTCAACCATTACCCAAAGACCTTACAACCACAACTTTTACGTCAAACAATAGAGTAGGAACTGACCTTGAATGGCAGGTACCTGATGTCCTGCTGCACAGAGGAGTCACCCCAAGTGCGGCCAATCAATCTCTTGGCATCAAAGACTGTGTTCTCAGGGTTAGAGGTCAGCTGGTTCTTGGCGGCATCACCAATCAGACGCTCACCCTCACTGGTGAAGGCCACGTATGATGGGGTGATGCGGTTACCCTGGTCATTGGCAATGATCTCCACACGACCATTCTTGAACACTCCAACACTGAAAGAAAACATTTTAGAGATTTATGATTTGTGATTGGCATTTGATTTAAAAGTTGCATCATTACATAGATTTTTTACAGCAAATCAAATGAAAATCACTTTTCTTACCATGAGTAGGTGGTTCCCAGGTCGATTCCAACCACAGTTCCCACATTCTCCTTCTTGTCGTCGTCATCGGCAAACACAGTGCCGGCCACCAGCATTACAACCCACAACAGCTTCATCTTTGCTTTTTGTGCTCGGATCTACAAAGAAATCTGCGGAGAAGTATAGTGTAAAAAAACGTGGCCTTGCCTTCATGACGTGGTAATGCTTGGTGTCATTTACTGAGCTTCAGACCTATGATGAACGGGAAACGTGGCCTTTGCCGCTACATCTCCGGAAAATGTCAAATGTATAAGCGTTGAAAGAATATGGGTAAACTGGGTGGAGCACCACTGCCTCTTTCGATTGTTAATACCATTGACTAGAATTTTTTTCCTCCATCCGCCGGTAGCTGGCTAACCACATTAGCGTGTCTAGCAGACATGCGAGGGAAAACACTAACAATTAAAAGTATGCGCTTTTTACATTGTATATTGCAGTCACATTACGCGCCCAGTTAATTTTGAAAAGCAATTGAAAACTTGAATACAAATTACAACAATATCTTCAAACGTTAGCTTATCTGCCTTCATCGTTATGAAACTGTCTGAAAATGAAGTTCAGCGTTGCAGAAGATATAAAATATTACGTTGCTGCGTTATCATATTCAAATCAATGTTTATACATACCTTAAGCTCAGTATTGTCAATGAATTATCGGCCTAGACGTTGCCTCAGTGGGTACTCTATCGTTGCGAAGTTTATCTCTCCTTTTCGTATATTCTGTTTTCTGGCCTCTGTGAAATGATGTTGAATGAACGGTCCTCTCTCCATATATAAGCCGTCACTTCTTCCCCGTCGTGGAGCCCCGCGATTGGCTGAGCAGGTGCTCGTTGGAACGCGCTGATTGGTTTCCACCGGCACGCTGGCCACCGCTGATTTGCACACATCGGGTCATATTGTCGTCACGGCTTTTGCCCACTGTGCCGATGCTGATTGGCTGTCTGTCAAGCGTATTCATGAACACAGTTGGTGCAACAGCATGCCAATCTAACAACCAGGGAAAGGGTTGCATTTTCACATTTCATACATCTGAAGTTAGCTGCTGCTTTTTTTTATAATGACCCCCACATGTAATGGATTTACATCCATTCTCATGTTGCTCTTGTTTCAAGTTGTGTGACTGCTGTCTGTCTGTGGTAGTGTGCTGGTATCATGAGTAGCAATGATGACTCACTACAATGAGTAAGAAATGTACAAACCCTGTGAAGAATGCATGTGACTAAACAGCCTAAAAGCAAGTGCTGTTTCATCAGATAAACTTGATTGTCTGGATGTCAGTCAATTTACATATTTGCAATTAGAGCTTAAAGCATCCTTCTTGAAATGGAAGCAGCCTGCAAGTTGACTATTAAATCTATTAAACTTTTACATGAGCGCTCTCTAGCCTACTGTTACAGAGATCACATGTTGATCACAGATATACTGAATTATTTTTTCAACACTGTTAGCTATACATAAGCAGGTGGTTACAACACACATCAAACAAAATCACCTACAGTACACTGCATTCTGCCATACAGTCTCCTATCTCAAAAGTCTAAATAGGTCAAGGTTAGGTAACTGGTTGCCAAAGCTGCACTTCACTCATTATTATCCCTTTCAAATGTGTAGAGTTACACCAGCCAATGAATGACATGTCATTGCCTATACAGAAGATTTTATTTGTGTTTGGCTTGATTATAATGTTAACCTATTGTACTTGCAGGCCTACTCATCGTTATTACATCTGGTATCCTAAATAGGAAGAACACAATGAATTATTGTCTCATAAAAGATGAGTTCACTTACAGTGCCAGTCAAAAGTCTGGACTCACTTGAATGGGAGAGTGTGTCCAAACTTTTGACTAGTACTGTATAAGACTTTTATAGAATCAAGAAGAACTTTACTGATATCGCAGCGACCTGGTTTATTCTGCCTTGACTAAAGATACAGATACTATATGACAGGGAAAGAAATGTATATCTTTTAAACCATGAGATTTAGTCGATTGACAGTCATTTCTAGAAAATTCCTGATACTGTTTTTTTCTTTCAG